ATTCACAAACTCTCTTAGAAAAAAGAATCACATACAAGGTCATGTTAGAACCCAAAATAATAACCCTCATTTGATGGACAAATGCTGTGGGTGTGAAATTAATAAATATGAGTCTGTGGTGATATTCCTTCAGATTAGAAACATATAAAACAGATTTTGTTAAAAGTGTTTATGCATCTTGTTCTATTTTGAGATGGAAAAGATAGATATTCTGTTTCTAGGCATTGTGTCAGAAAAGCCGTTAGATATAAAAATACGCTGAGTGAAAATTATATATCTCATTTACAATAAAGGTAATGAGTAAATTTGAATCACATTTTGTACTATTTCAGTATTACTTTGCATGTAATTTTCCCCCCTTTAAGTATAAAAGTTTTACACTGATTGCTCTTTTTAAGAGTCTTTTCTTTCCCAAATCGCATAATTAAATATTCAAAATGTATTTCTGTTTAATGTTAGAAAACAGGCAGTCTGTATCTTTTTCATAAATCTCTACCTGTTCCTTTCACTAGGATTGTTAGAAAAAGCCTGCCCTATGTGTGAAAACTTTTAAAACTGAAATACTTTGGAGCGACCAGAGGCTAGAATAGGTGAAAACCCCTCTCCATCTCTCCCTCATGAGCTCCTCCCCTCTCCTTTCTCTTTAGTAAACTTGGGTTAAAAAAAAAAAAAAAAAATATTTTGAGATATTAGCAGCCATTTTTTTTCATATACTAAAAAAGTGACCTATAAATGTTTGAGAGACTCAGTGAAATCTTTAAAATAGAAATTAACTGTTTGGACTGTTAACTGATAACTAAAAATTAAATTTGGTTGTGATATTTGTGACATTTAATTTAATTGTATTCTTTTTCTTTCATTTTTAAATAGAAGAAATCTCAAAAGAAAGATAAAGATTTGAAGATATTGGAAAAAGAGGTAATAAATGCTTTTAATTCAATATAAATAAACTGGTATATAATGGAAAGAGAATGATATATACAAGAAACAGATTCAACTGCAGTTTTAGGAGCTGTGTAGGGAGATTATTATGCCATGCAAATCAGTGCCTACAGGTAACAAACAGTTCCTTAGCATGGATACCATATATCAGAGCCTGATTGTGAGTGTGGTAAGCTAGGAAAGTCAATTTTGTTAGCATACCAAAGGACAGATTGAAAATAACCCACTTCATAAGAAATAAAAATCATTATGTCAGATTATTACAATTAGATACATGGATCAAATATTTTGGTATATAGAGCACACTATTGCCATACACTAATCTACATGTTATGGCAGTGAATATCTAGAGAATTGCTTGGTAAAGCACAAAATTCTAGCCAATTATTTGGATTGTGATCAAGTTGTGTTATAACTTGATGAATTTCTCTATACCATATACCTTCCTTATATACCTTCCTCAAGAATGAAATGTTCTAGAGCTGCGCTATCCAAAATGGTAGTACTAGCCACATGCGGCTATTTAAATTAAATGAAATTAACAAGCAGTTTCTCAGTTGCACTAGTTCATTCAAGTGCTCAATAGCCACATACAGTAAGTGGCTACTATTATAGATAGCACATGTCTGCCATGGCAGAAGAAGTTCTATATATATCCAAACCAAAATTGAAACCTACTGCCATCAAGTTGATTCTGACTCAGAAGACCCTATAGGAGAGAGTAGAACTACCACATAGGTTTCCAAGGCTGTAAATCTTTGCTAAAGCACACTGCCATATCTTTGCAGTAGAGCAGCTGGTGAGTTTGAACCACACCTTTTGGTTAACAGCCAAAAGTTTTAACCACTGTGCTACCAGGACTCCTATATATACAGAGAGAGAGAGAGAGAGAGAGGGAGAGAGAGAGGTGTACTTCAAAGTAATGGTTCAACTACCAAATCTATATATAGATCAGGCAGCAGGCTGGAGACCTCTGCTGGCTCACAGGATTGTGGGAGCTAGTGAATCCAAAATCTGTAAGTCAGATGGCAGACCACAGACTTCTACAGGCTTAAATTCCATGATTTGGATGTCAGGTGATGAGAAGAGTGCAGGGTAGAGAAAGAGTGCATGCTCTGCCAGAACATCTCTTTATATGCTGGAGGCAGACCATTCCCTAGTAGATTCCCCTTTCAACTGATTGGTTGATTGCATACGGAAGTTGGTTACATTACATTGCCTTGTGTTGTGTTGTGTTGTGTTGCGTTACGTTACATTACAGAACACCACCAGTCCAGGATCTGGCCAAACCACTGAAAATTATAACCAACCCAAACTGATACATAAAATTAACCACTGTAAGTACTGACCTAGAACACCCACTTCCCTAAATAGTGCTGAGCTGGTCACTGCCAACTTTGCTTTTCTAGCAATCTTTTTTTGGTGCTTGCATTGCTGATAAACTCTTTTCCTGGTGGGCATATATTTTTCTTTTCTTTAATTTTTATAGTGATTTGGTGAAAGCTTATAGAGCAAATTCACTTTCCATACAGCAGCTCACGTACACTTTGTCTCATAATATTGACTTCAAATTTCCCACAATGTAACAGCTCCCCTCATACTTCCTCCCCATAGTTACCTCTTCCCTGCGTCCTTTCCTCCCATGCACTTCTACCCACCCCTTGAGCTGCCTCCCTGTGCATACACAGCCCCTCTATTCTCCCATGACTGATCTCTCCAAGGAGTGTATCTACCTAATGCAAATGTTCAGCTCATATGCCTATCTTCCGCTCAACTGGAAGCCATAGGAATGAGTTCAATTCCAGACCTGAAGGACAGCTCGGGACCATAGTCTCAGTTGTTCTACCAGGCTCTATCAGACCAGCAAACCTGGTCCCTTTTGGTGGGCATATTTTGATATATTAAAACTTTCCATGTAATTATAGTCAAATTTTGATTTAGGACCACAATATATAAAAGGACTCTGTCCAAAAAGGCGGGGGAGGGGGAGTTCTGATTCTTTTTATATTTATTTTAAAATGTTGGCTATTATTTTACGAGTATACATGTCTGATGTAGGCATTAACATTGATAGATGTAATAATTGGCAGAACCAGGGTTAGAGCTGACAATTTGGGTTAGTTGTTTAATCTTTTAGAATAGAGCTTTCTGACAATACAGAACTCTATTTTATTTAATTAAGCTCCACAATATTTGTTATTTGCTTATCTGCTTCATTTGAATTGGTTGTCTATTTGAAAATAAAAATTCACACAAAAAGATCTGGACTTCTGATTGCATATTACAAAATGAGTTCTGACAACACTTGATTGCACATTCCCTCCAGGGTAACAGTGTGCTAGCGCTGCGCTGCATTTGCTCTTCAGCCCTCACCTGATTCTCTATTTATTCTTATGATCCACTTGACCCTATAGACATTGGTGTTTACAAACCCTGTTTCAAGCTAAACTCCTTACCTGTGAAATGAAAAGTGAGATGTAGATAGTTTCATTGTTCTCTTTTCTACTTTACAATACTGTGCTGTAAGTATTAAAGCTCATTCTGCCCTTAGCATCCAGTTCAGAGCTTTTTATGTTAGCAGTATATATTTTCCATCACTATTGAAACTTACCCAAACCAAGTAAAGTGTTGACTTAAAATATTTAAGTGTGACTTAAAACACAGATTGGTAAGAATACGAAAATCAGTGAGAACAGAAAAAACTTTTCCATATGACTTAATACAGCAATGCTTTCTTGAAACTTGATTTATAGCCCAGCAAATAAATAGTCTATTATGGTAAATGTTCAGTATATACTTGAAAAGAATTTATACATCTTGGGTACAGTGTTCTATATGTTAATTAGTTCAGGTTGGTTAAACGTTGTGTTCGGATTTCTCTATTGGTATTTTTGTCTGTTAATTACTGAGAGAGGTGTGTTTAATTCTCCAGCTCTGATTATGGATTAGTTTCCTTCTCCTTTTAGTTCTGTCAGTTTTAGCTTTGCATTATTTTAAAGTTAGATTGTTAGGTGCACACATATTTAATATTATATCTTTCTATTCAATTTATCTTTTTTTTTTTCAATTCACCTTTTCATCATTATAAAATTTCCTCTTTATCACTATCAATACTTTTTGTGTTAAAGTCTGCTTTATATGATATTAATGTAGTCACACCAGTTTTCTTTTGGTTAATATTTCTATGATAAATCTTTTTTATTGTCAATTTGTTTATATTCATATATTTAAAGTACATATCATGTAAACAATATATATCAATTTATTTATATTCATATATTTAAAGTACATATCGTATAAACAATATATACCATACCAGTTGCCATCAAGTTGATTGTGGCTCGTGGTGACCCCGTGTATGTCAGAGTAGACTGTGCTCCACAGAGTTTTCAGTGGCTGGTTTTTCAGAAGTACCTCTGTGCTCCTTTCTTCCAAGACTCCTCTGAGTGGACTTGAACCTCCAACTTTTCAGTTAGCAAAGCTACCAGTTTGAAAAACCCAGAGACTAAACAGTTGGGCATCTTGACTCTTAGGAAAGGTTATTTTTCTCTCTGGAGTTTTAGTTAATCTAATCCTTTTTCCTAAATATTTGATACGTTTAAAAATACTTTTTGGTCATGTATCAGTTTATTTTTTCCTATTTGTAGCAATGAGAGGGATTGCTGATGCCTACTAAAGCCTACCCAGAAGCCTAGCTCTACCTTGTTGAAATAGAAGTAAATAAATATATGTTTAACATTTCAAACTCTAATTTGAACTTATGTAATTAGAACTATAGACAGTAAGAACTCTTATAGGCAGACTGCCTAAGTGAATAAATACCTTAGTTGACCTGGAAGTTTATCACAATTCAAATTTTTCAGTTTTAAAATATAAATTTTAAGATGTATCATAAGGTAGTTATGATTGTACAAACATTAGTAAAATTAGAATGTCTAAGAGCATAATGTAAAAATGAAGAATTTTTTAGAAGAATTCATGTTTTAATTACCAATGCTATCTATTTAAATTAACATTATATCTGTGAGTCATTTATTTATCACCTTGTTTTCATCCAGATTCGTGTTCTTGTGCAAGAACGTGGTGCTCAGGACAAGCGGATCCAGGATCTGGAAACTGAGTTTGAGAAGATGGAAGCAAAGTTAAATGCTGCAGTCAGGGAAAAAACTTCTCTCTCTGCAAATAATGCTTCACTGGAAAAGCAGCTTATTGAATTAACCAAGACTAATGAACTTCTAAAATCTAAGGTATTTGAACCTCAAAATCACATTTATTATTTGAACAAATAATAAATGTATTTTTTCTCATTATAGTTGTTTGGGAATTTTAGGCTCTAGTGTAGCTCTATTCCTTCTCTGAATGTATCTTAAATGTTAAGCTGCTTCAAATAGGGAGCTCTGATGGCATACTGCCTAAGGCATGTGACTGCTAACCAGAAGGCTGGCAATAGGAGGCATTATTTCATCCTTTTTTTATTGTGCCTGGAACATGAGAGGTTATATAGCAAACAAGTGACTTTGTGTCTTAATAGCTGAAATTTGCTTACCCTGCTTAAAAGTCTTTCCCAGTAAATAAGACCATTATTAAAATCACAGAATTTATATCTAGAAGTCACCTTAAACATCTTTCTCTGAAATAAATAGCATAACAGCAGGCTTCCATCTCTAATCTTTTTGGTAATAAAGTGTAAAATGAATAAACTGATGAACTAAATGTTTTCAATAAAACAATTATGATTATTAATATTCTAATAGATCTTAGAGGCTTAACATAGTCATCTTGCTTACAAACTCACTACCGACGAGTCGACCGCCACTCATAGCGACGCCTCCTTGGGTTTCCGAGGCAGTATCTCTACAGAAGTAGATTGCCCAATCTTCCTTCCGAGGAGTGGCTGATGGTTTTAAACTGCCAGTCTTCTGGTTAGTAGTCAAATGCCTTAGGTACTAAACCACCAGAGTCCCATAGGAATTGTTGTTGTTGTTGTTAAGTGCCGTCGAGTAGTTTCCGACTCATAGCGACCCCATGCACAGCAGAACGAAACACTGCCCGATCCCGCGCCAGCCCCACAATCCCTGCTATACTTGATCCCATCATTGCAGCCACCGTATCAATCCATCTCGTTGAAGGCCTCCCCCTGTTTCGTTGACCCTCCACCCTACCAAGCATGACATCCTTCTCCAGGGAATGGTCCCTTCTTACAACATGACCAAAATAGGTGAGATGAAGTCTGGCCATTCTTGCTTCCAAGGAGCATTCTGGCTGCACTTCCTCCAGGACAGATCTGGTAGTTCTTTTAGCAGTCCATTGTACTTTCAGCATTCTTCGCCAGCACCACAACTCAAAAGCATCAACTCTTCTTCGGTCTTCCTTATTCATTGTCCAGCTCTCACATGCATACCAGGTGATTGGAAATATCATGGCTTGTGTCAGGCACACCTTAGTCCTCAATGAGATATCCTTGCTCCTCAGCACTTGAAACAGTTCCTTCGCAGTTGACTTTCCCAATGCTACACGTCGTCTAATGTCCTGACTGCTGCTTCCGTTGGCATCGATTGTAGAACCAAGCAACGTGAATTCTTTGACAACTTCAATCTTCTCTCCATTTATTGTGATGCTGCTCATTGGTCCAGTTGTGAGGATTTTTGTTTTCTTTAGATTGAGACGTAATCCATACTGCAGACTGTATTCTTCAACCTTCATCAGTAGGTGCCTTAAGTCATCCTCACTTTCAGCAAGCAAAGTTGTATCGTCTGCATATCTCAGGTTGTTAATGACTCTTCCTCCAATCCTGATACCACGTTTTTCTTCATCTAGTCCAGCTTCTCGGATTATTTGCTCAGCATATAGATTGAATAAGTGTGGAGACAGAATACAACCCTGACGCACTCCCTTCTTGATTTTAAACCATGTAGTGTCCCCTTGTTCTGTTCGAACGACAGCCTCCTGGTCAAGGTACAGATTCCTCAGGAGTACAATCAAGTGCTCGGGGATTCCCATTCTTCTCAATGTTGTCCATAATTTGTCATGATCCACACAATCAAATGCCTTTGCATAGTCAATAAAACACAAGTAAACATCTTGCTGGTATTCCCTGCCTTGAGCCAAGATCCATCTGACAACAGCTATGATATCCCTTGTTCCACGTCCTCTTCTGAATCCGGCTTGAACCTCTGGAAGTTCTCTATCAATATACTGCTGCAAACGTTTCTGAATTATCTTCAGTAAGATCTTACTTGCATGTGATATTAATGATATTGTTCTATAATTTCTACATTCTGTGGGATCACCTTTCTTTGGAATGGGCACAAATATGGATCTCTTCCAGTCAGTTGGCCAGGTAGCTGTCCTCCAAATCTCTTGGCATAACTGAGTGAGTGCCTCCAACGGGGCATCTGTTTGTTGAAATATCTCAATCGGTATGCCATCAATTCCCGGAGCCTTGTTCTTCGCCAGTTCTTTCATTGCAGCTTTGACTTCTTCCTTCATTACCATTGGTTGTAGATGATATGCCACTTCCTGAAATGGATGAAGATCGATCAGTTCTTTTTGGTACAGTGACTCTGTGTATTCCTGCCATCTTCTCTTGATGTTTCCTGCATCATTCAATATTTTGCCCATAGAATCTCTCAATATTGCAACTCGAGGCTTAAATTTTTTCTTCAGTTCTTTCAGTTTGAGAAATGCTGAGCATGTTCTTCCTTTTTGGTTTTCAAACTCCAGGTCTTTGCACATTTCATTATAGTAATTGGCTTTGTCTACTCGAGCTGCTCTTTGAAATCTTCTGTTCGGCCCATAGGAATAGAGGGAGCATATAAATTGCTACTCATTTAATTTAAAGTGTCACTTAGGACCTATAATGTACTAGGCTCTTGCTTACAAAGGAAATAAGAGGATCGTCAGGGAAGACTTTACAGTGGATGATAACTTGATCAGGACTTTCATGAAAAAGTATGAGTTGAGGGATGGAGCCAATTTCTAAAAGGAGAATACCATACAAAGGCATGGAAACCTCAAATATTTAACATGTCTGGTCTGGAGAACTATCATTGGCTTTGACAATTCAGGAGTATACAATGTAACAGATACAGGAGTCATAGGATAAAGCAGTTTTAGCTAGTCTTCACATTCAAACAAGAGAGATGGATTTAAGAGAGATGGAAGCAAAGAGACATCAACTTACAGAAATAATCAGGTGAGAGGAGAAGGTTATGAACTGAAATGATGATGGAGAGGAAAATTAGACTAAAGAGATATTGAAGAAGTAAAATAGATAAGGTTTTACTGATTGGTTAGATGTAAAACTAGGGAGGGATCATTACCATAGTTTTGCAAATAACATGCCCACATAAATAGCGCATGTGTGCATATAAAATGCATAGTAAACGAATGTGCAAAGGAGTTGTGTGCAGTTGAAAAAAAAAAACTAAAATGTGTGTGTTATTTGTGTAAAAGTATAATATTCTATTGCACTGCTGATTTCAGAATGTAAAAAGCATTAAAGCTGGGTGTCTCATTTAGGGAGAACGAGAGCAGCTGAATAACTTTATACAGTCTCTTACCTAGTAAGTAGCTGTGTTGGCTCTGGCTTTAATCACTTTGCCAAGACTTATTTCTAGTGACTTAAATTTTAGGATATCATATACCCCTGAGAAACCTTTCCTCAGAAGCACTCATATTTGCAAAACATGAAAAAGTGTGTGTGATCTTAAGGAGCTTATAAGTTCATTACAGGCCATCTTTATACTCTTTAATGAGCTGTAGAACTCAGAATAAGCACTTCTCCTTTGCAATATTAAATTTAAAGCTGCCCTCCCTTTGACTATAAAGTGTATCAAGCACTGGAGGCAGGACTTGCTGATACCAGCTAGCAAGATGTGTACTAGTGAAAGCTATTTTAGGCAGTCATTAGCTTGGTGTCTCTGGCAGCCAGATGAAATATAGGTTCTCTGACACCTCCAACTCTGACAAACGTGAATTGTATGTTTACTAATGTTTGTTCAAATGCCATAATTTTAAAGTGTCATAATAATTATCTCTTTTGCTGTGAGAGTATTTCCTGAGAGAGAGAAAGACGGTAGAATTCAAATAGGATTTTTAATCTCCTGCTAAGGAAAGAATTGTGGGATGAGTTGTGGGATGACATTAAGAACATGATATATGAAGAAAGCAAAAGGTTATTAAAAAGACAGGAAAGGAAGAAAAGACCAAAATGGATGTCAGAAGAGACTCTGATACTTACTCTTGAATGGAGAGTATTATCTAAAGCAAATGGAAGAAATGTGACAAGATAAAAGAGCTAAACAGAACATTTGAAAGAGCAACTCGAGAAGACATAGTAAATTATTATAATGAAATATGCAAAGACCTGGAGTTAGAAAACCACAAGGTAAGAACATGCTTGGCATGTTTCAAGCAGAAAAAACTGAAGAAAAAATTTAAGTGCCATGTTGCAATACTGAAGGATTCTATGGGCAAAACAGTGAATGACACAGGAAACATCGAAAGAAGATGCAAGGAATATACAGAGTCACTGTACCAAAAAGAATTGATGGACATTTACCCATTGCAGGAGGTAGCCTATGATCAAGAACTAATGGTATTGATGGAAGAAGTTCAAGCTACATTGAAGGCATTGGTAAAAAAACAAGGATCAAGGAATTGATGGAATACCCATTGAGTTGTTCATCACATGATGCAGTGCTGGAGGTGCTCACTCATCTATGCCAAGAAATTTGAAAGATGGCTAACAGGCCAAACTACTGGAAGAGATCCATATTTGTGCCCATTCCAAAGAAAGGTGATCCCACAGAATGTGGAAATTATCAAACAATATCATTAATACCACAAGCAAGTACAATTTTGCTGAAAACAATTCTAAAATGGTTGTATTAGTATATTGACAGGGAATTGCCAGAAATTCAACCAAGATTCAGAAGAGGGCATGGAATGAGCATCATTGCTAATGTTAGGTGGACTTTGGCTGAAAGCAAAGAATACCACAAAGATGTTTACCTGTATTTTATTGACTTTGCAAAGGCATTCAACTCTGTGGATCATAACAAGTTATGGATAGCATTGTGACAAATGGGAATTCCAGAACATTAATTGTGCTAATGAGGAACCTATACATAGACCAAGAGGCTGTCATTTAAACAGAATAAGGGGATACTGCATGGTTTAAAATCAGCAAGAGTGCATGTCAGGGTTGCACTCTTTTCACCGTATTTATTCAGTCTATAGTAGCATAGTGGCTAAGACACTTGCCTGCTAACCAGACGGCTGGCGGTTCAAACCCACCAGCCACTCCTCGGAAGGAAGGTTGGGCAATCCTACTGCCGTAGTGATACTGCCTCGGAAACCCAAGGAGGGGTCGCTATGAGTCGGGTTTGACTCGACGGCACATAACAACAACAACAATGCTGAGCAAAGAATCTGATAAACTGGATTATATAAAGAAGAGTACAGCATCAGTATTGGAAGACTGATAAAGAACCTGTGATGTGCAGATGATACAACCTTGCTTGCTGAAAGTGAAAATGACTTGAAGCTCTTCCTGATGAAGATTAAAGACTGCAGTCTTCAGTATGGATTAAACCTTAATATAAAGAAAACATGAGTCAGGGCCAACTCAACGGCAAATAACAACAACATAAAGAAAACAAAAATCCTCATAACTGGACCTGTATGCAACAGCATGGTAAAGGGAGAAAAGATTCAAATTGTCAAAGATTTCATTTCATTTGGATCCGCAATCAATGCCCATGGAAATAGCAATCAAGTAATCAGATGATGTATTATTGCACTGGGCAAACAAATCTGGTACAAAAGTCTTCTTTAAAATGTTAAAAGAGCAAAGATGTCACTTGGAAATCTAAGGTGTGCCATGATATTTTCAATAGCCTCATAGGCATTTGAAAGGTGGACAATGAATAAGGAAGGCTGAAGAAGAATTGATGCATATGAATTGTGTTGGCTAATAATACTGGAAATAACCATGGACCACCAGAAGAATAAACAAAATCTGTCTTGGAAGTACAGCAGGAATGCTCCTTAGAAGTGAGAATGGCCAGACTTCATCTCACCTGCTTTGGTCACGTTGTCAGAAGGGATGAGTCCCTGGAGAAGGATATCATGCTATGTAAAGTAGAGGGTCAGTGAAAAAGGGGAAGACCCTCAATGAGATGGATTGACACAGTGCAATAATGGGCTGAAGGATAGCAAAGATAGTGAAAATGGCACAGTACCAGGCAGTGTTTTCATCCTGTTGTATATAGGGTCTCTGTGAGTTAGAACCAACTCAATAGCACCTAACAACAAGGAAAGAATTGCTTTCTATCAAGCACGCAGTTTTGTATTACCCACAATTTAGACATAAGAAAATTAGAAGCATGCTATGGACACTTTCTTCTGTGAGTCATAGATTAGAGGAAGAAGTTACTTGAAATGAATATCGTATATATCATTGTAGAGAGAAAAGCCACTCAGTCTATAAAAATGAATTTAACAGGATTTATTCAGAAAAATGAAAACAAATAAAATACATCCAAATGTAAGAAGACACAAGCCCACATAAAAAGAACTGGTAACAACTTCTAACTAAGGCATATATAATCCAAGGAATAAAGATTATAATCTTTGTTCTGTCATTGTTTGATGTCATAAGGAGGATAGGTTAAGGGTGAGGAATGGGCATATATTGGATGAGTGGATATAAAGAATCACAGTGATTGATTTCAGGAACTAATTAGAGATTTTCAATTATAATTACATAGCTTTCAGGTGGGGTCATACCACATCACACTGGTGGATGTTTACACAGCTTTTACCAGATGTTTCAGGAGTGGGTGAAAATTCCCCCTGGTGCCAACTTCTCATTCCCCCCAAAACAGCTTGTTAAACAAAAACCTTAATTTTAAGGGGTCTTGGAAACTTTAGGTAAGGCTGGCTCCAAACCCTTTCAAGCAATTCTTTTATCACATCTTTGTCATGAAGAAATGTTTCTTGGCTCACTTCATAGAAAAAGTTACCTGTGTCAAGATCCTCTCCCTTAGTGTATATTTCTCTTACATCCTGGCTTGACTATAGAGAGAAATTACTTAGTTTTTATGGCTTCTAGCAATTAACCAGCCAGATAACAAGAGCTTGTAAAGGGAATTGACTTGCAGCTGAGCAAATAGACTCCTAGGCACACAGATGAGTAGGAACAGTTTAATTCAGCAAGAACTGAGTTAAATTCAGTCATTCAGTTTTGGTCAAAAAGGCTCTATGAATTTCTCCTTTACATCTTAATAGGACTCCTGGCTTTCCAAACTTGTAGGCCTTTGGGCTATTGGCAGAGGTGTACATTCTTGCCTCTGCCACTTAATAGTTGAGTGGCCATGGGCAAATATTCACCTTCTCTGATTTAATTTTCTCATCATTAATGTGGATAATAGAACTTTCCTCATGAAATTACTATAAATATAAACTAAGACAACCCGTGGATACTCTGCACACAGTACTCAATAGCTATTAGCAGCTACAGTTATTTCATCTCACATTCTTTGGACATGTTATCAGGTGGGACCAGTCAGTGGAGGAGGACTTCATGCTTGGTAAAGTAGAGGGTCAGCAAACAAGAAGATCCTCAGTGAGATGGATTTTCATGGTAGCTGCACCAGTGGGTTCAAATGTAGCAGTGATTGTGAGGGTGGCTCAGAAAAGGATAGTGTTTCATTCTCTTGTATGTTGTTTTGAGTCAGAACTGACTCAATGACACTAACAACAACAATTACTAATTACCTTTATGGAATGAGCAGGATTGGCTCATTCCTGCTTGGCTCACAGCCCTTGGCTTTTACGAATATCGTTTCTACCACTGGCTGTTTGAACAGAGGAGGTTAAAGTTAGAGCATCAGGATGCAGTGCTTTCTAGATGCATACATCTTTAATTGTTAAAAGTTAGGGTGCATAAGAATCAAACATGGAGATGAAATTCTGATTTAGAAGGTCAGGGATGACCCCTATAATCTACATATTTCCAAGACACGACAGGTGACTCAGATGCACATATTTATGCAAAAATGTTTCAAAAAATCCTCCCTAAGAGGTTTGTTTCAAAGGCTTCCAGTGGACTCTGCAGCATATAGAGGTAGTGACTACCCACACTACCTTTTTTTTTCAATTAAAAAAAAAAGGTCACTTTGAAGAAAAGGATGAATTAGAACAGTAATATGCACTCAATAATTGTGGTATTGGTCAAAGACTTTTCTCTACCAAAGTATATTGCAGGCTAATTATAGCCCCAATAATAGGTAGAATAATTAATATTTAATTAATTTTATATATGACTTAGCAGAAAATGTTTCTGAATGTTTTTCTCTTGTTTTGTTGTAGTTTTCTGAAGATGGTAACCAGAAGAATATGAGAATTCTGAGCCTGGAGTTGATGAAACTAAGAAACAAAAGAGAAACAAAGATGAAGGTGAGTGATACTTTTGGTAAGTTTGCTGGGCCTGGGTCTCATTTCTCATTTCCTAAAACGTATCTCTGTTGTATAGAGTATGCTGGCTAAGCAAGAAGGCATGGAAATGAAGCTGCAGGTCACCCAGAGGAATCTTGAAGAATCTCATGGGAAAATAGCACAGCTTGAGGGGAAACTGTAAGTGGCTGAAAAAAGAAAGAGAAACTGTTAAGTGTAACTGATTCTCAGTTAGCCTCTCTCAGCTAGTTATTACTTACCAAATTTTAACCTTATTGCCTCCATCTCATTGTCAGTACCCTCAGTACTTACCTCATCACCCCCTCTCATTGTTCTATTTGTCTTCCTAAGTAACAGCCCAGTCCTAATCACTCCCAAACATTTTATACTGGGAAATTGTATGAATGTGTTACTTTTGTACACCATGTGTTAATAAAGAGGAAAGGCCTCATGATCTTTCTAATATCATAATCTTATTGAGGTGCTATCAGATCAAAATTCAGAAATACTAGCATAAGAAGTTGTGATTAATGCACATTCCTTGCCTTCTTTTTATTATTGAGCTATAATTTACATACAAATGCACAGATCTTAAGTCCTCAGTTTGATGAGTTTTGACAGTTTTGTACTTCTCTGTATCCACTAACCAAACAAGATAAAGAACATTTCATCCCCCTAGAAAGTTCTTTCATGCCCCTTCCTACTCCTTCCTTGCTTCCTAACACTGTTTCCCTACCTCCACAACCACTTTCTGACTTCGTCTATCATTACACATTATTTTTTCCCTTTTTTGGAAGTTTATCATACCATTAATTTGTGTGTGTGTGTGTGTGTGTATTTGTATATGTTACTTCTTTTGCTTAACTTAATATTTTGAGATTTGTCCATGCTATTCTTTGCATTATAATTCATTCCTTTTTATTTCTGAGTAGCATTCCATTTTATGCATGTAACTCTGTTTACTGTATTCCAATTTATGAATATTTGAACCATTTCCAGTTTCTGACTATTGTGAATTAAGCTGCTATGAGCATGTTCTATTTCTTATTGTGGACATATGTTTTTTATTTCTTTTGGGTAAACATCAAAGAATAACATTGCTGGGTCATAGGCAGTGTATGCTTAACTTTCTAGGAAACTGCCAAGTAACTGTTCAAAGTGGCTGTATCATTTTACATTCCCACTGTCTGGTGGCATAGTGCCTAAGGCATTTGACTGCTAATCAGGCTGGCGGTTCAAACCCACCAGCCACTCCTCGAAAGGAAGGTTGGGCGATCTACTTCTGTAGTGATACAGCCTCGGAAACCCAAGGAGGGGACACCATGAGTAGGATCCAGCTCCACAGCAGTGGTTGCGTTTTACTGTCAACGTGTAACAGTTGTAGTTATTCCACATTTTCACTAACATTTAATATTGACAGTCTTTTTGATTTTAGCCTTTCTAATGGATGTGAAGTTGTATCTAATTTGTGATTTTTAATTGATTACTAATAATAGTGGCCATCTTTTCATATGCTTATTAACCATTCATGTATCTCTTTTTATAAAGTGTCTGTTTAAGTCTCTCATCCATTTTTTAAATTAGGTTATTTGTCTTTTTACTGTTGACTTTTAGGAGTTCTTTATATGTGTATCTTAGATACAAGTTCTTTGTCAAATATATGACTGATTGTTTTCCTCCAGTGTTTTCTAATAAAGCCCAATAGTTTTTGTAGGCTTACTTTTTTTTTTCCTAATGATATCTTTTGATGAGCAGCTGTTTTTATTTTGATGAAATCTAATATATTGCTTTTCTTATTTTATATAGTTATTTTATGAACTTTCCATAAAAGCACCCCCAAGGTAGTGAAGATACTCTCCTAGGTTGGCCTCCCAGAGCTTTATGATTCTACATTTGTCATTTAAGTCTATGATCCATTTGCAATCATTATTCTTCTTTTAGTATGATATAGGGATCAAGATTTACTTTTATCCATAAGAATATTTAGATATTTTAGCTCCATTTATGAAAAGATTCTCCTTTCACATTGTATTGCTTTTTAAAAATAACAATTGAATTTTTATTTTTGTAGCTTTCAAGAGTTTCTCCATGTACACATCATGTTATCTGTGATTAACAAGTTTTACTTATTTTCAATTTTAATGCCTTTTCCCTTTTTTTTTTCTTTCTATTCCACTGTTATGTTCTTAACCTGCTATACAGCTTCCTTTGAAGGGCTTAGGGCTTTGATTGGAGCCTTCTGATTGCAGAATAGAGAAAGATTCACTAGGATAGTGCCTCTTAGACCTAGTGCTGATAGGTATCGAGAATTATTCCTTTCTTCTCAGTATTTCTCAAAGCCATTATTTTATATTGCTATAAATTTATGATATTGAATTTACTATCTTCTGTGTGCCAGTATTATGATAGGAGTTATGAGGAGTACAGAGATGAAGCTAGGTGAGTGGCCTTTGTCTTCTAGGAGGCCATTATCTAATGGAGGAGATGAACACATAAATAACTAAATAAAAGGCAGTTTGGGACAAAGACTTTAATAGCATACAAAATGTTATTTTGTTTGTGTCATGGGTAGGGAAAACCTGGAAATTATGAAAAGGATTATTTGTAACACTTGCAGCATTGTAGATGATGCTCACTATCATTGTAACAGAATACATTTAGAAAGCTCTCTCACTTGTCTCCTATTTACAAATATATCAAGGACTTCAGAATTCACAAAAATAATGCATAAGAGTTTGGACTTAGCAGTCAGCCTGCCTGATACAAGAGTATCTGGTACATAATAAGTATTATGTGTGATTACTAAATAAAAAAACAAATGTAGTAATATATACTTTTTTTAATTTTTTAGTGTTTCTGTAGAGAAAGAAAAGATTGATGAAAAATCTGAAACAGTGAAACTCTTAGAATACATTGAAGAAATTAGGTAATATGAATTATAGTTTTAAGTTGGACTTTATTTTGTTGAATGCTGATGAATATATTATTTTCATCATTTTGTGCTTGATTTCCCTTGTGCCAAAATAGATGTAGTGTTTAAAATAATTTGTTTTAATGCAGTTGTGCATCAGATCAAGTGGAAAAATACAAGGTAGATATTGCCCAGTTAGAAGAAAGTTTAAAAGAGAAGAATCATGAAATTTTAAGCCTTAAGCAATCTCTCAAGGAAAATGCTGTTATATTGTCTAAAAAAGTAGAAGACCTGAATGCTAGATGTCAGCTGCTTGAAAAAGAAAAAGGTATTATAGTATTTCTACTATTACTTTCTTTAATTAAGTACTCATATAGTTTTTAACAAAAATTAAGTTTTGCTAAAACACATTTTTGTAATTATTCAAATAAATAACACAAAATCTTCCATATATGAGTTTTTGACTAATACAATGTTTGTTCTCTGTTTATATGAATGTATAGCTTGTCTTGATTGAAATATATACAGTAGTGCAGTTCTAGACTTCCCAACTGGGTGGCCATTTATAATTGTTAGATATATAGAACTAGGTTTGGGGATTTTACTAGATTCTAGAACCTGCCAAACTTGTTAAGTATTTTTGTTCTAAATTACCATTCTACAACTATGATTCAGTAAAGCTAATTTAGATTCTGGGATAGGTTCACTTTTATTGTCTCTTGGAGGATAGAAATCCCTTGGATAAACAATAATAATGAAACTGAAGAAATCATATGAATGCAGCTCACCTTAATTAGGTTTATCTACATTTAAGACTTTAACTATAAATTTATGTGTAACAATTTCTATACTTGCTTAGCTCTTCACTAAATGATTTTTCTCAATATATCTCTTGATTCTTTTGTTTATATGTTAAATGGTACTTTCAAAGATTCTATCATTCTAACTTCCCAAATGGTCTAAATTAATACTTTTTAACTTAGTAGCTTTGGTTGATTCAGTGCAAAATGATTCTTTTATATTCATTAAATATACAAACTTCAGAGTTAGGGTTCCCCCCTTTAGAAATACTTGATAACATATGAAAAAAATAGTATGGGAGTTGGGTTTCTCAAAGTTGAAATTAGTGTCGAGTTACATTATTCTTAATGTTTTCCCTTTTATAGAAGACCTTGTCATCAGGGATAGAGAACAAGTTGAAAATCTAAATACTGAGATACAAAACTTAAAAGAGAAGTTTATTCTTGAAAGACAAGAACATGAAAAACTACAACAAAAAGAGTTACAATTTGATTCACTTCTGCAAAAAGAGAAGGTAGTAATTTTATGTAAAAAAAAAAAAAACACTGTCATCAAGTCAATTCCTACTCATAGTGTGACCCTGTAGCCCTAGAGGACAGAGTAGCACTGCCCCATAAGATAGGGTTTCTAAGACTATAAATCTTTATGGAAGCAAACTACTTCATCGTTTTCTTTCAGAACGACGGCTGGTGGGTTCGAACTACTGGCCTTTTGGTTAGCAGCCAAATGCCTTCACCACTGCACCACCAGAGGGCCATGTATATACATATCCCAAAGCCTTTAAATTATATATATCCTTTCATTCAACAATTCTTTTAGAATCATACCCTGAGGAAAATAATTATTGTTGTTGTTGTTGTTATGTGCTGTAGAGTCATCTCCAACTCATAGGGACCCCTCCTTGGGTTTCCAAGGAGGTATCTCGAGGGAAGTAGATTGCCCGTAGATTGCCTGGTCTCCCTTCCAAGGAGTGGCTGGTGGGTTTGAACCAGCCTTCTGGTTAGTAGGCAAGTGCTTAGGCACTACACCACCAGAGCTCTCAAAATAATTATAGATATGCTAAAGGTTTAGCTACAAAGATATTCACAGGGTTATTGACAATGTGAAAAACTTTTAAGTACTAGATGCCACAAAATAGGGAAATAAATTTTTAATACTTTCAGGCCCATTCTTGTCATAGATTGCTATGTAGGCATTAATTATGTAGAAGTATGTCTAATGATACAAGAAACAAAAAAGATTTTTCAAATCTAGATTATGGAAAAAACATTTTACATAACACTAAGGAGAAATAAAATCCACTGGGGGAAAAAATGGGCACACGATAAAAACAAGCTTTTCTCCATGTAGTCTGTAAACAACAAAAGAGTAATAATCAAGGAAAGTAAATAACTATATTTCACTTATGAGATTGGTGCAAATTAAGACAATTGATAATATAATATGTTGAGGAGAAATCACAATGAAAGTTTTATATAATATTGTGTGAGAAAAGTATATGATTACAGCAAGTTGTAAACAGATGTAAAATACGATTTTAATTTTATAAGGAGTTTGTGTGTGTCACCCAGAGGAAAGACTGGAATGATATTTACTACTGTAAAGTGTTAACAAGTTTCAGGATAATTTATGAAAAAGTGAAGCTCTTAAATTTAGTTT